AAAAAAAACAGGTTAAATTTATTAATCCTTAAATAAAATTCTATAATAAACTGCGTACATATATGAAAGAAATATTACGTTGACGATAATCTCGAATAATGATCTAAGATATATTTCAACACAGCATTCTTTCTTGCATGTTTCTTTACAAAAGAACGATATACTGTAAAAATAATTTCATAAGACTTTTCTGGATCTGTACAGACGCTGTTTAATATCTTTAATTGTCCATGTTTCAATGTCCAAAGAAGATTCAAATAATGAAAGGGAAGATTTTCATGTTCAGTACATGCCAGATACGTTAAATTCTCTTGACTATAGATACCAGATTGATCACCTAAAAACTGATTCCAGAGATATGGACTTGCGTCCATCATACCTGCACAATATATCCATTCCTTCCACCACGGTAGAATTCTATGATATTCATCAGAAATATAAATATCTCACAAAAATATTTAATTTCAAAGCATGTTTTCTCCAAATTAATATGATATGATATTACTTATGTATGATATGATGTGCGAGAAAAACATGATTAAAATTATAGCTAATTGCAAAGTAAAGTATACGCACTTAGAGGGATATGTGACAAACAAACTAAGTTTAACAGTGGCAGCTTCTTTACATAATTTATGACCGAATTTACAAGCCCATCTTAATCCTAATAATCTTAAAGATTTTATCATATCATCATCCTTAATATATTCTTCATATCCGATCTTATCAAGAAGACTGTTCAAGATGTCTGACAAATATGACTGCGTAATAATATTAAAATATATTTAGTAATATTTAAAAAACACATGAATTTTAAATTGATTGTTTTTTGTAATGACATAACATATGTGGATGTATATAGAGAAATTATTTGGTACTTATTACGTACATATTACATTGTACGCATTATTTAGATAATATATTATATATCCCTAAACCATTCGACATTTTAATATGCATATTATGCATAATATATACTGGATACATATTATGTACTGACTAATTTATATA